TTTAAGGACACAAAACTGGGTAGGAACTGGAGTGACAGAATATATAAGTGGATTATCAGAGCCATCTGCAGTTCACAGGCATCCAATATGCTTGTGTTTCATCACCTACTAACTTCTGTCTGAGAACATTGTGATTTTCTGCTTTCAAAGCCACAGAGTGCTGCTGACGAACTTCCAGGAATCTGTGTGCCATGGCATGGAGATGACAAGCAGTGTCAAGTACTGGGACCCTGACTAACCCATGCTGCTTAGCTGGAACAAAATCATGGCTTCAGACCAGGCTCTGCAACCCCCTGCCTCAAAGCAGGATGTACAGATGGGGGCAGGAATCAGGACAGTTACTCAGACATATAAACATTAAGAAGGTGTTTGGTTTTCAAAAAGCAAATTGCAGAGTTTACAATATATCAAGTTTTGAAAACTTCAAAAGTGTAGAAGGACTTGCTCCCCCAAGGACAAGCAAGCAGCTGTCTGGCCCGAGGGGAGCTCCTAGGAGGGCTGGCAGTGGACCAGGCACTCAGTCTGCACACCAGCACCAGCCCAAGCACACTCTATGCAATCAGACAGCTCTGCTTTCTTAAGGGAAACTCCCAGGAATGCATCCATCTCACTGGAACAACACAGGACTGCTGTATCTGGTAACATTCTTATTTAAATACTTCTTGAAATACAATTTCCTGCCTTTAAAATTGTCTCAAAACACATATATACCCAGACAGTTAAACTTTCCAATGGTATATAACAGGAAAATTTGCCCATGAATCTGAAGTATCCGTGCTTTCATGGAACAGAATTGTTTGCCTAGTCATATGTAACTGGTGAATTCTGTGACGATTTCTGTTTAAAACTCATTTAAAAGACATACAATCTGAAATTTCAAACACATTTGAAATAAAGGTTTCATTCACAGTACAAGATCAAACTCTGTCAAAGGAACTTGTTTTAGATCTTTTTCACCTTGAAATATGTCTGCAACAGACATAATTTACTTTCCTGTATCTATATGGTTTTCCATTCCACTTACTTCAGACCCCTCCATGGAGGATCTAAGTCAGAACCTTTGCACAAGTTGGAAAGTCAGTTGTCTCCAATTAGGAATAAAAGGAAAGAATGCTTAAGGAAAGCTTCTCTGACTAGGAATATTCTGACTTTTAATTTTCCATTTTCAGGGAGCAGGATCCTTCTTGATGTCCTGTCATGGCAGAAAGAGAGGTGATGGGACGGCTCACCACTCTGAAAACCAAACCCTTTGCTGGGTTTCCACACCTGTGCTTTCCTTAAAAACTGTTTCTCTATTTTAGTGTCCCACTTGCATACTGTGTCTTTCTCTATGGTGGGCCAGTCTCCAACTACCAGCAAAACAGCCTTTAAAGAACCCTCTACAGCAAGACATTTTAACACAAAATATAGCCAAAATGTCAAATAACCTGAGCAGCACTGAGCAAGTTCTTCACATTCCAAATGAAAATTTACATTATTATTTCCAGTTAAAGAGAAAAAGGGGATTTTTCCTCGTGATATTAGTAATTTCTCATATAAATTCAGCTACTTACATTCATTCCCTATTATCTATCTTATGTCTGGTTGTTTCTTGAATATAAGCTTTAATATAAAACCTCAAAAACTAATTTTCTACTCATAATTGTGTTTACTGGTATTTATAGACTTTAATCAAACTCTGCTTTTCACTTATCTTTTCCCTTAAAGCATACAGGTATCTTAAAGGGCTAATATCAACTATTTTCTTTTTCTCTAGAAAGAAGCTGAACCACTAACACTGTCTCCCTCTAACTCCCCCCTTTTCTAATCACCATCAGAGATATTTTGAACATCTACTCCATTTTGAACATCTATTCCATTTTGAACATCTACTCTTTGGTAAACAGGTTGGTCACCAGGCTCCAAACTTCATGGAAGATAAATAATAATTAAAACCAAAGTCACATAAGGCAGGAAGAATTATTAAAACCATCTGAAGAAGGAAAAAAAAAGAGGTTTTTTTTTTGTGTGTCCTTCATTTTCTGCTTCATTGTAAGGACTGCTCATACTGCATGGAAGCTGTCTATGGGCTCTGCAGAAGGTCACAGATCCAAGTCCACAATAAGGCTTTTCACATCCCAAATGCAGAATGCAGGGGACAAGAACAGGTTACTCGTTTTAGCACTGTGTGTTCTCACTCTGATTTCTAAGATCCTAGTACAGAGTAACAAACAGCCCAAGGAAAAGCCAAACAGGACTAATAAGATTAGCAACCTAAGCATTGGGTTTTTTAAACACAGTTCATTAAAATACTAATCTATTTTACTACGTTTGTTTACTTTCCCTATATATAAAGAACCATAGAATAATCTGCATCTGAAAGGACTCCACTCAAAGAGGAACTAACTTCAACATTACATCAACTTGCACAGGAACTGTGCATTGAGTTCTGAGCATCTCCAGGGCTGGAGATTCCACAGCCTCCCTGGGCAGCCTGTCAGCTGACATGAATAAAATGACAGGAACCCAAAGAGAAAGTCAGTTTGGCATTCTGAGACACAAGTATATCTCTGCAATATTTGGATTTCTACAAAACAACTCATGTTCCCCTTATGTCTTCTCTTCTGAAGTAATTTTCATGTCACATAGTTGTTTCCTCAGTACACCTCAAATTATCAGATTTATACAACAATATTTTAACCTAACTTCTCTTTGATTTTTTGAACAAAGCTGTCCATTTGCCGACTTGTTTTTAAAAGAATATTTGTGCTTAATGCCTCTAAAAAGAAGACTATGTATGTACTTATATTTTTGTTCCTTCTCCAGTCTTTTGCAGGAATACTGTAATAATGCCAACACTACTTCTTCCATGGCTTCACACACTGAAAAAACTCAGAACAGAGATTCTGTTACCTCTGCATATTCATACACCCTTTCTTTGAATGTGTTTGGTGCAAAGCTGTCTATTCTCAGACACTCCAGCTGGCATTTTAATCAGAACAGTGTGGGCACATGGCTGTGGTTCATTTTAAGTTCCCTTTTCCAGACCTCTGTATTTTACTTACCACATCAGAAAGTTATTTTACCAAATTTGCTCAATTCTTCATCTTTTATTTGCCAACTAAGCCCACCTCCCCCCCAGCCCTAAAATCTGAATGCCAGAGAATCAAAATACATTTTCTCATTCAGACAGGAAAAACACTAATATTTTTTCCCATTACTTCATATTGGAAACTCTTCCCAAGATCAAAACCAGTAAAAAAGTGAACTGAAGGTTAAATTATTTATTTGACACCAACAATGGCCTGGTTGCAGGCCAGAGCAAGAAGCCAAAATCACAACAGTGATGAGCCCTGCAGATAGTGGAGAGAGGTAAGATAACCATTCTTCTCCCTCTGCGAGATCTTTCCAGCTCCTGAGAGCATAAAAGCAGGTGGGACAAAAGTCTGACACAGCAAGGGTTAGGTGTGTCTCCAAGCCTTTAAATATAGCTAAAGATGGAATAGCTGGTTGAAGGAAAACTTCTGCCCCAGTCTCTACACACAGAGAATTAAAATTCTCCCAAAGTCCCATTTGTTTTTCCCTACCCCACTTCTCTTTAACATTCTCTCACTCATTTTACACCCAGTATTCTGTTCCTCTCAGGCCCACCTATTCCCTGTTTTTTCTCACCATAATACCCACTTGAGCTCCCTAGCTCTCCCACAGGAGAAGCACAGGGTTGAAAACCTCCAAATCTGCTATATGATTTCTAAGGCAGCTGCACTCCCCAGCCCCCATAATTGGCAAGGAGTAAGACTGTATACAGAGTGCAGTCACCAGCAATCAATCCAGATGAGAGGGCAGAGGAGAGAAATAGTAAAAAAAGGGGATGCTTATTTTCTCTGTGCTTTGGATTCCTCCAGAGGGAATGCTCTAAGAAATTATGGGAGGGGAATTCTAACTGCATTAGTGTTCTTACCTGCAGATTTTCGCCTAAGTTAATATGCTGACATGAGGATATTACAAAACTTAGTTTGACAGCAATGACTAAATTAGATGGCATCAAGTTTATTTGTCCTCTGCCACACACACCTGCAAGTCAACACAATTAAGGTGGCCCAGTCCTAAGGAGATGAACTATGGTAGTGTGTGGGAACAAAGAAATGCATTTTAAAAGCCCTGTCAGCACAACACTATTTCCTTTGACAATACAGATACTCCCAATTAGTGAGCTAAAACTAAGTGCCAGCTCACCATTCAAGCTAAATTATTGTGGAGAACCTCTCTAAGTTTTAATACTAAACACAGAAGACTACAGCACACCATATGACAGGACAGGCTTATCAGCTTTACTGTAATGTACTGCAAAATTCAGGTCAATGGTGCAGAATCTAAACTTCTTGAGGGCTAATCCACAGAAATCTCATAGAAAACAGGAGGTCTCAGGAATTTCAGCTCCATTCAGTACTGAGGATAAACTCAAATATACCAAGTTTGACCACTGACATAGGTTAGAAGAAGTCAAAACCGATCTCCCTGTTTCAGCTCAGCTGAGACTGTAATGTATTTACTGGATTCTGTTTCCTTTAACAGACACTAACACAGAGGTGCTTCCATTACACAGAACAATGTGCAGACATATTTCAGTATTATCTAAAGTGAGGAGCCTAAGTACAAGTGATTTTCGATAAGCTTTTGAAAGTTTACAGACCGGAGCGGCATTTCCTTTGGCTATGGCTAACAGTTTTGCATTATACAGCACATCCAACTCAAACCAGGTAATGAAGGTTTTTACTTTAATCATTTTGATGAAGCAGGGAGTTGAAAACTAGATTTTAAGTAAAGCTTTTCTTATTAAAAGAAAACAAAGCAGAAATAGAAAATTTTAGCAACCATTGTTCTTTGCTTTAATGATCTTGTCTCTCCAAACAAAAATTACTTAAAGAGAAGAATGACTACTTTTTTCTTACTAATAATGTGGGAGCCTACATAATACCTATTCAGTCAGTGTGTCCTTTTACAAAATCTAAGATACTTACGGAGTCCAAACCTTCGGAAAGGCAGCAATTTCTTCTGGTGTATATTCATCTAACCTCTTGGGGACTGCACGTGGCTGAGGAATCTCCTGTAGAAGGTTCTTCTCTATATCTTCTGGAATAACCTGAGACAGGTGAGAATAGTCTTAATTACTTGACTGTTTAACAAACAACACCCCTGGCCACAAAGACAGACCAAAATTTGTCATTAGGACTGCATTCTTCACACTAAGTGTTTGACCTAAACACACCAATTCATCTCATACATCTTGGATCTCTGTGAAATAATATGGAAAACACCCCAACTACACATAAATACACATATTAAAAAAAGCAGTGTCATTTTTGTTTTCATTTGTTTACTTATGACATGGGTGCTATTGCTAACACTCCCTCTTCACCTCTATATAACACATGGATGAAAATGTAACTGCATGGCTACTCACATCTTCAGGGAACAGGTGTAGCCTCTGCATCAGAGTTCTTCTCTGAAGGTTTTTTGGAAGCATTCTATAAACAGTCAGTTTAACAATCTGAGGAAAGGTAACATAGTAACAAATTATCAGGGAGGTTACACGTAACATGAAATAGGTTAACTGTTTTTCCATCTGTCCACTCTTTCATTATTGAAGCTTAGTCAGCTTTCAGGCTGAGGAATTCTGGCACCACCTCCAGAAGAAGCTCTAGACTTAAATTTTAAAAAAGGAAATACTTACTCCTCAACATAGAAACACTTATTTTAAGACCCATGTAGAAAATTTCAGTTTAGAAAGTTAAGAACTATATTTAGCATTTTTTGTGGATGACTCTACATGATCTTCAAAGAATTGAGAAGCTTGTGGTAACTCTGTATTTTATTGCACATTTACATACAGACATTGTTTAGGAAAAAAAAAGTGCTTAAATTTCTCAAGTGCTCCCAGCAACTAGTTTAACAGTGTAATTTGATATGTTTAAAACACTTTTATAATTAATGCTTTGTACCTTAAGCAAAGCTGACATACCAAAATGCTGCATTACAAACTTACTATTTGTATTTATAACCCTTGCTATTAGTTCCAGATGAACAACCTCACTTCTACACATCAGCAATGAACAGAATTTTTACATCTACTCTATATGATGCTCATTGTAAAGTAAACAGGATTTTCTCTTGGACTCTAGTAAAGATGCCTCTTCTTTAAATACAAAACACATTGTTATGGACTTCATCCAGAAAGGGAACATTTGTAAATGTAAAACAATGCACACAACTGTAGGAGACAAAAAGGTTTTCATAAAGGACAGCAAAGCACTTAGAGCTGGACCTACGTGCAAATTTGTAAGTAAAATGTTTGCTGCAGGACACCCAGATATAAACTAGCTCCAAATCAGAAACTACCCAGGCGTGCTTAGTGCAGCATCAAGCTCAAGGCAATAAGCCACACTAAAATACAGGGCACTAACCACAAACAAATATCACAGGCACCTGGATATTTTCCGAAGTGTACTGAGCAAATTTACTTCCTTTTATAAAATTAACTAAAGGAATGCAATCAAAATTTTAGAGACAATCACCAAGTTCCCAGGTGGGACCACATTAAGATAGGATTTTCAGGTGTTATGCAGCCAGTACATAAATCTGTGGACAAATGCAATAAATCAGGATAACAGGAGAAATATAGGAGGCCATGCAGATTAATATACAGCTTTGATACCTTCTCTAATAAAAATTAATAAGCATGTATTAAAAACCAAAGATGAAAACTAATGCTTTTTACGGATAAAAATTATTTATCATTGTGTAATTTGCTTAGGTCATTATACTCTGTGTCCTGTCACTACAGCTCTTGATAAAAGGTCTGTCCCCATCTTTTTTGTAAGCCCCCTTTATATACTTGAAAGGCCCATAATAAGCTCTCCCCAGAGTCTTTTCCTCTCTAAGTTGCATGACTCCAACTTTTTCCATCTCTCCTCATAGGAGGGGTGCTCCATCCCTCCCATCATTTCTGTGGTCCTCCTCTGGACGTGCTCCAACACATCCATGCCTTTCCTGTGCTGGGGGCCCCAGAGCTGGACATGGGCTCCAGGTGGGGCCTCAGCACACTGGAGCAGAGGGGGAGAATCACCCCCTTCACCCTCCTTGCCACACTACTTTGAAAGCAGCCCAGGATTCTGATTTGCTGCAAGGTCATTAGTTCAACTACAGAACAGAAGGCTAAACAGGGAGCCACGACACAGAAGGTAGTGCTGGAAAAATCCCTTCATTGTAACTTCTGCCTCAAAGACTCTTCTACAAGCCAAAATAAATCCAAAGCCAGCTACTGGAAAGACCACGTTTACATCCAACTTCTTGCCCAAAATTCTGCCTACAGCCACAACTCCACTCTCACTGCTGTGGTGTCAAGTCAAAAAAATCAGTAAAGCATAGGCTTAAGTGAAGTTGTACAGATTGCTTTTGCACCTTGAGTAAGGTTGTGTCACAGAAAAGGCAGATTCAATCAACAATACTTGCAAGGTGCTAAGTAAGGGCTCTTCTGTTACCTGAACATGCTCAAGTTTTACTAAAAATAGACCAACTCTAAATAAAAAAGTACGGAATTGCAAATCTGCTACTGAACTCACAAAAAATCCAAACTCAGATTCAATGTTCCTTGAAAACACACTTCAGAACATGTTGTTTCTTTCAGGAATTAACAATAAAACCCCTTTTTTTACATGCTTGTAATACGCTTCTAATAAAAGACAAACCTTACTGCTTTCTATGTCATGCTTACTTTGAGCTATTAAAATAGCAAGAGTTTAATTTGATACAAAAGTTTAAAAAGCTAGTGATTTCTGTGTAATCTCAGACTGGCAGAGAGGTCTACCCACCCACAGGTCTCACTGCAACCTTGATCTCATTTTTTAAAGTAGTTACCACAGCTTAACAGTTTATTCAGTTATTCATGGACTCTCACTGCCTCCTCCCCCACTACTTTTTCTTTAGTACTGGCAATGTGTAAAATTCCATATCCTCATAAATACTTACTCCTAAAGACCATGCCACTTTCTCCATCAGGTAAAGACATCCACCATCAGAAGTACACAGCCACCCCAGTGTTAGTATTTGGAGATTTTTACACTACTGGGATGCTGTTTGCCCCAGTTTTTTTCTTTTTTTTTTAAATTACCAAGTTCCCATTGGCTCTAATTGCAATTGTCATCTTGAATGTTGCAATACCTTTATTTCAACTTGACTAATTTATACACTCACAGCATAGACATGCTCTTAACCCAGTTATATGACATTATTCTTTTAATTTCCAATTTAAAGGGCTAATGAGAAGGAATCTAGGCAGCTCTATTAAAACTCTTGCACTTTCAGTCCCTTACAACACTTTAATACATTTTATGAGTACAAATAAATTAAAATACATGTATTTGAAACACTGTGAGTCCTAAACATTTCAATTTTTGTGACAAGCTTTGGCTCATGTGCAACTTGTAGACTATGTCTGATGGAGACAAGTTCTGAGAAAGATTCTTTGCCAGATAAAACATACTTTAAAGATGGAAATCAACAGAGCAAGTAACTAGTACCACTCCTAGTACTGAGAAGCACAAAATAATTGGCTGAATTTCCAGAAGAAAGTCTACCCTAACAGCTGAATTAAGTCCAATAATCAACAGGAAGCAACTCTAGAACATGGGAAGGACACAGTGCTCCAGAGAAAACAAAGTGATTAATTACAAGGCATACCAAAATAACCCCAGAAGAATTTCAAGAGGTACAGCAGTTACTTGGAGGTACAGTTTGATATCACATCTTCCTTCTACCAGTCCATGGTACTCAGTTCTGTATACAATATTGCTCTTTTCACCCACACATTATAAAATACAACACAAAGAACTTTCTACCTCTGACAGCTGTACAAGTAGTAACAACTTGTACAAGCAAGAGTGAATGTACTCAACACTGCCATAAGAATCATTTGGTCACAGACAAATTAAACTTCCACGCACATGCACGTCATTTGGCTTTCTACTGCTGCTTTCCACTTAACAAAAATGCGGAAGTTTGATGTTTTCTTTAAATTATGAACTTGACTCAAAAATAAGGAATGGATTAAGACTTTTTATTGCAAGCATTTATTTTTGCGTACTATGAAGAGAATGACCAAGTCAGCTCTAAGACTTACTCAGGTCACCTAGAGGTTTCAGGATAGTATGTTTTAAGACAGCAAGCTCTCCTCCCCATGCAAAACTAACTTGTGTGCCTACTAATCCAGTCTTTGAAGTTTTGTTCTACTTAATTAAAAAACATTACTCCTTTGTAATAGAAGAAAATGCTACAACTTCTAGTGTTTCAGTAACTGGCTTCTAGCATGAACATATTATTCTATCCACTATCCCTTACTAATGCAAAGAAAATAGGTTCTCAAATAGCAACAGCAAGATTTAACTGTGCTTTCTGTCTGAGCTTTTCTTCAAAAGACCCTTATTAGGCAGATATAATGGCAAGTCTGTACGTGCAAGCAGTTGCTAAAGGGCATTCAAAAGGAGAATTAGAACATTTTAAACCCCTTCACATCAGTGCCAGCAGCTGAACAAACCAAAACCCGGACAGCCCTGGAGGCTCCCTCGCAACACATTTCCACTGAGCTACCCTGCTTCACTTAATAATCTTCCCTAGCAGGTAACATTCATTCTGAAAAATTATTGCCCATTATTCCTCTGTCACAGGCAATACAGCCTCTGAATACTGCAAAGGTCAATCCTCTCACTGAGCATTTGGTCTTAACCAAATGTAATTTCTTCTTTTTCTTTTCTGGAATCAAGTTTCTGATGCAGCCAGAAAAAAAAAAAAAAAAAATTAAGCTGAGTTTTGCCTTTCAAATCACAAATAAAAGAAAAATTGATTGCAAACTTTGTCCTCACAGGATTACTATCTACTTCTGTACATTAGGTCTGACAACATTATTTTGCAGGCATTTAAATGAAAAGATTTTTCCAGGAATTTTTTTCAAGTAATCTTTGCTCCCTCTCAAATCCAAGATTTAAAACTACATCTTTTAGTCTTTCTGTATCAAGCACCTAGAAGTCTAATTATGAAAGTGCTGGTCTCATGCCAATCAGCAGTTTTCAAGCTAAATAAAACTTCTGCAAGTTTTATTTTTTAAAAGTCAAGAAAATCCCAAACCTCTATGCACTCCAAACACTTACACCTCAAATCCAAAGTTTTGCCCGTTTCCTTCATGTTCAAAAGATTGTCCTGGCAAAGAAATCACACCAAACTGCTCAATTAGATTTTTTTTTTTTTAGCAACCTCCAATGGAAACTAATGCTGCCTGCCCACTTACATCCTACGAGATTATTGCTGCCATACAGAGTATTAGTATTATATTAACCTGAAGAACAGAGTGGCTGTTTTGAACTACAGCAACAGTTTCATGGTGCACCTAAAGAACACATTTAATAGTTTTGCTTATGGGTGGTCAAAGAATTTACATTCAATTTAAGTCAGGGAAATGTGAACAAGCTGTTTTTTTTTCTTCAATAGCACTTCTTAAAGTAGCCCAGCCAACTTCATTAGATGAGTTCTAATCTCTGCTATTTTGAAGAAGAGCAGAAGACAACTGAAAACACAAGAAATTTTAGACAGATTCAGAGACACTCCTCTCTTCATGTCTCCCAAGTGAACACATCACTATTCAAGGTAAAAATGTGCTGGACTATGTACTTTTACTATCTTTTTGTTAACATACTAATTTTCACCCTTGCATCAACGCAAATTTTTCTGAAGTGCTGAAAACCTTGGCAAAATGAACAAGGAATGTTAAGCTCTACACAAAACATCAATTACGCAGATTTCTTTCTGCATTCACTGCCCCATATTAACGTGAAAGATACTTAGCAATGGAAAAAAAAAAAGTAGTGTTTTTCTAATCTCAGGTACAAAATCATACATCAGAGATCAGACACATACGATTGGACAGGTGAGGTTTTTTATTCCTTTCAACAAAGAAGAGAAGCCATGGACTTCTCTTGTTGTTCTCTCAACAAACAGTTGCCATAGGAAGTTTTCAAGACCTGTCAGGATAAATCCCCAGCAGCTTTATCTGACCTAATAGTTGACACTACTTTGAATAGGAAGTTGGACTAGAGATTTCCTCAGGTTCTCTTCAATCTGAATCATCCTATGGCCTTTAGAAAAAAACACAAGTAAAGCACAAGTAAATTCAAATTCACCACAAACCCTCTGAAGCACTAACTACCACCTGCAAGGAACGTAAAGCTCCAGAATTAGTAAGATAGATAAAATGGGGTCAGCCCCCATGAAGTGAGAACATCACTTAACCTTGGTGGCACCTTAGGGAGGAGCTACAAATGATCAGGGATGACACTACGGTAACATTCTGACAACTATACTTATGGCTTTCAGCCTCCCGGGTAAGCATAAACTAAGCATTTTGCATCAAATTACTCATTACAATATTTTTAACTAGCCATTAGCTGTGAAGCAGGTTTTCCTAAAACACTCTGTACACTAGAAACAAAACTAACAGAAAAATATTTATCTTGGGGATTTGCAAGTTTGAATTGAGATATATATAAATAACGACAGTGCTAAGCGTTCCTGCAGTCCTACTATACACACACACACTCAGGAAGTCTTATATAAACTGAAAATAGTCAAATACATTGCAAAATCTCTATGGTAGCACCATGGAAGTTTACAACATCCTTTTCCTTGGAAGCAGTCTCTTCCATTAATTTACTGCCTTAATTTCTGTAACAGCACTATTTCCAAAAGCAATGATGACTCATCCTAATGAACACTACCAGGATGAATGAGCAGGAGGCAGTAAGTCCAAGGGCAGACAAACAGCAGCAGCCTCCAGGATGAAAGTAACACTTTACAGAATGAAGATTTGGATGCCACAGGAAGACACAGCCTGCTTCCTACAATCTTCCTAATTCCACTGGCTTCACAGGAACTGAATGTGAAGTCACTTAATGTTTTAATCACTTAATGTGATTAAAAGAGAAAGGAAGTGAAATAAAGTGATGAAAAAAGTCTCCATAATACCTATGTGTCATTTAGATGATGATTTGAAGATGTGTATGTTACTTAGGCTGATGCTGTTCTCTTTACAGTACTTTTTCAGGTTTTAAAAGCTTGTTCTAAAAATAAAATCTGCTAATAAAGCATCATCATAATTTCCATTTTTGTTGTACCCCGATGCATTTCACAGCAATATAATTCAACTAGCAAACAAATGTTTCTAGCCATAAAACCCCATTACAGCTACACATACAGAATATATCTTGCCAAATTACCACCCACTACTACCAATTATGACAAAAACACGTCTGAGATATTTTTATGAGAGAGGCAAGTGAATGCTTCATCTTCAATAGAATGACAGAGTTAATTGCTGAAGATTTTCCACCATTGTGTTAAAAAAATAGTGTCTGCTGCTAAATTAGACCAAGACTTGAGCCACATCACCATTTGCTGAGCATTTGTCCAACATGCTTTAGTTTTTGGCAATGTATTTAATCCTCTTCTGTTTGCAGAGAAATTCATCTATGAGTCTGGCAATAAAAGAGGTATTTCAGAACTAATGCCAGAAGGTAATTTAGAGAACATCCAAGTCTCACGCCCTAACAAGTTGTGTTACACTGCCTCCCAGTGCTCAGCATCTGCCTGAAGCTCAAATGAAATAAATTGAAGAATCCATTTTAGACGTGGAACTATCAGTAATTCCCAAAGGAATTACAACTATCTTAGAGGCTGTTTGCAAAAGCATTTGTTTTGAAAATTTCTAGACAGAACATTATATGGAAATGTAGGATTTAGATTCATTTATTTAAAGATGTTGTGACAGTAAAAACAGAAACCAAGCAAATTCACATGGTGGACTACTTTTTCATTGAGTACTTGCACTTGTATTAGGCAGACTTGGGACAAACCAGGATTTCCAAATAATTGATAAAACCTGTGAATTTTACAGCAGACAAGACTTCTCTAGGCAAAGGAAAAAACACTTGAATATTTTTTACATTAAGTGACCCAAACAAAAGCATTTCAAAGTCAAAATCAAACATAAATGTCTATGAATCTCTGTAGGTCTTATATCATGCTCTGACACATTAGTACTTAGAGAATTCAGTCCTTCAATGCTGCCCATTCAAACCTCTAGTAGAAGTCACTTCATAAATGTGTAAGTCAAAATGTTCGTATCCGGCTCCCTATTTTTTTAATCAGTACAAAAACATGAACATTGCATTTCAGACTATACAATAGTCTAACACAGACAGTAAAAAGGCTTATGTTCAACATAATCAACATTTCCATTTCTTTCACAAACCATGAACACACAGTATTTCAGAAAAGATTTAAAAACCATCATCACTTAAAACCTACCATTGAATTTCACTGGGAAAAAGAGGCATATGCACTTCCTAACTTTTTTAAGATTAGCATAATTCTTGCTGACTCTTAAAAAAGCAGAAGGGTCGTTAAGCTCAAAGACAGCTTAGCTCACTCAAACTGGAGGCAGTTCACTCATGAGAAAGGTCAGACCCCTGAAACTAAAAGGAAGTAAATAAGTGAAAAATTAGTGAAGCCAACAAGTTTGATTTGCTCCTTTGGACAGCATGGAAGAATGACAAAAATACACAATTTACAATCTAACCCTGCAAACATTGTTTAAAAAAATGGTGTCACAAGCCAAGCTTCTACAAACCACTAATAGAATTAATTTAACTTTAGATATGCAGGTAATTGATCCTATTTGTTTAGGGGAACTAATTAACTGGAATTAACTCACTAGATTCACAAATGAAAGCGAAGAAGGGAAAAACACTTACAGCAGTTGGATCCTTTAAATGGAGCTGAGTTGCTGTCACTTGCTTGAAACCACCAGGATAACTAGAAAAACAAAACACACAAGCTCAATTCTACATGCTCAAGCAGCATGCTAACAAATGTATCACTACATCTTGAACAATGGTGTAATGGTATTACAAGCCCTTAAAAAACAGACGTCGTTCTCATGAGCCCAAAACCTGTATTTTGTTTATCTTGTCAACTATCTAATTTCAACACCTTTTGTGCTTCCTTTTTTATTCACTTAACTATGATAAACCTTGTGCTTCACAAGCAGATGTTTTTAAAACTGCTTATTAAATATACCATAACAGCTACAGAATACAACAGAAATAAGACATGCAGAACTCTGAAATATTTCCAGATGATCAAGACTCACAACCAGTCTGTGGCTGACATAAGAGACATCCATTTTGAACTGTATTTATTATTTTCTTGCTACTCTAAATAAATCTTAGCAAGACTTGGCATATCTACAGTAATAAAATTTTAATTTTACTGCAATGGATCCATCTTTCTAAAGGCTATATGACATGTTGAAGCTGCACTAAATCAGATCTCTGCATAAGCTTTAAATGAATGATAGCATGCATTAAGAAATCACATGGAAGTCAAGTAATGCTGCATTTCATTTTGATTGAATTACATTATTAGGAATCAGCCTAAGTGAAATGAAAACAGGCCCAGCATCATGAAGACATGTCCACTGAGCTTCATGGACTTAAGTATTAGTTTTAAATGTACAGTTCTTTTTACTTATTCAAAACTTAGGTACATACATGTTAAGTTTTTAGAGAAAATTTTAGGTCATAGGGGAGATGGAGACAAAAAAAGCACACAATAATTTCCATCACCTCTGAACAAGAATTTATCAGCAATTCAGCAATTTCAGGATTGCACCATTAGCACTACAAAATTACCTTACTCAGTGGAATTTATTAATCTCTCAATTGGATACATTGTGACACTCAGAGATTATTATGAATTTGCATCACTGCATAAAATAAGAGCACTCAACTGATCATGGACACCCTGTCTGTAGTTGATTATTGCACTCTCCACTGTAAACCAGTTATGTCTGCCAAAATAATATATTTTACATTACTGTGTATAACAATGTACATCATCAGGACATCTTGAGAGCGGCAGGATAAAGTAACTAAAGTTGGTGACTACATACATATATATATATATATAATGTGGAGTGCCAATAGAAATATCTTCTATTACACAGTAAACAGAACAGTCCAGATCATTGGGTTAACACAAGACACAACCTCACTCACCAAATCTGTTAACTTATTCAATTGTTCTGACTACTTTTGAGTTAAAGTATTTCCCTAGCAACAAACACTGGGTATTAAAAAAAAACAAAAAAACAAAAAAACAAGAAGAAAGAAAATAAAAAGAAAGGAGGAAAAAGGTTTACACTATTTTAACATCATAACACATGCAAATAAAAAAAAAAAAAAAACCAACCTAAAAGTTAAAGCAGGAATTACCTTTTAAAGCAATATGCTGAAAAAGACTTCAATTTTTAAGAAAATATGACACAAAATTTACCACAAGCTTTATTTACTATAAAGCTTACCCAGAATGTGAAGAATACACTTTCTGTTCCCATTTGTTACCAGAGAAGGCAATATGTCTTGTATTTATTATGACAACATGATCTCCACAGTCATCTGCAAGGTAGAAGCAAGTGGAAGATATCAAAGAAAATCATGGAGGGAATCAATCCAAGTAACAACTATTATGTGTGCAATACATACATAGTAGCATATAAATACACCTTCCATAAACCCAAAATTTAAAGATCTCAGCTTTCTGAGCCACACCACCCCAATCAGCACTTAGATACCAACCTTAATTACTATTTTTAGTACTACCAGGTTAGAAGGCAGGTAAGCAGGTAAAATACCATCAGGCCAGATGACTAAACCAGTGCAAATATTCAGCTAAGATTTGGAAATCTGGCTTACAGGCAAATTTCTATTCTATTGAACACATTATGCTGCATATGCACCTATATTAAAAACAAACAAAAAGACAAACGAAAAAAACCCAAAAAAACCACACACACACACAAAAAAAAAGGTTAGTTCCAAATGATCCTAAATATATTTTAATTTACTTTCTCATAAAAACAGTACCTGTGTTTACTGAAGGACTGAACATTTTGCTTAAGTAAAATACTTCCATTAAGTAGTTACACTCTCAGGCTAAGTATATAAAACAAACAAAAATACTGCACTGAGAGAAATGGCAGGGGGAAAAAGCCCTAGAAACACCACTCCCAACAGCTCTGTTGGGAAAAACTCCACATTTTCATCTATCCAACACAAGCAAATGTTACAGCATATATATGTAACTTTAACATCAAAAGTTCTTTAAGTGCAAGGTTTATTATCTATTACCAACACCCTGCCAGAAACAGGGTTGGTTTAATAAGGCTTCTGTAGTAACAAAGTGCTAACAGAACCTCTATGAACTCAAAAATATCACATAAATAGGAGAAAAGATGTCATTTTTAATTTCAGAAGTAATGATCTTGATCAGCTGTGTAAGCTGTAATCACCCGTTCAACTAAAGTGAAAATGACTTCTCCAAAGTTCAGCCTCATCTGCATCACCATATTAGAACACAAGTATGTGAAGAGGCTCACTTGATTAAAACATTTTTGAGTAGATAACAAAGCAAGGCTTAAATTGACCATGCATTTTTATAGGAGCATGTAATTAATTAAAGCAACTTTCACACCTTAAGTTTTTTATTAATTTTTAATCTTGTATTTTTTTTAATGCTACAGCTGAAGTGAAAATGCAATTTACACATCTTTGTTGCTGCAGCTTTTCACTGCTGACAGTACAGTTCTAAAAACACTGTATGTCTTCATAAATGTCAGGGAACTGGACTGTCACTTTGTGACTTTTTGGTGTTTTGGTTGGGAAGATGACACAATAAGCTCATATTAAAGAAATGTATGCCAACAGTTTTCCACTTGCATGAACACTGAATTAACAAATACCAAATTAAAAACAAAACAATAAAAAAAATCTTCCTGATGTTACTCTGTCCAGGGAGCTGTTACCTCGCAGACACTAAAATATTTGTTAGTTCAAAAAAAGAAGCAAAAGAAGCATTAAGTACATAAACCACAAGTTCCTGCATACTTTGCTCTCCAAAATGTCTCAGTAGCAGTAATCAACCAGTTGGTGTCAACATGTGTAAAGCAATTAGCACTGATTTACAGAACATTTTAAACAAAATGAAGTTATCCTTGAAATGCTTCCCAAGACCTTATACCTTCACAGACATAAAAGTATCAAAGTTCTTTTGCACAAGGTAACCAAAGCATTTTCCTCTCAGCACCTGCTTTATTTCTCAAGACAGCCTTAATTCTCCAGTGACATCTTGTGGATACAACAAAATTTGCAACAGTAGAACTGACATTTAAAGGTCTTGACAACACTAAAAATCCTACCTCCTGTTGTGAAATAGATCGAGTATAATTTTACTATGTATACTTCACCATGTATGAGCCAACTTCAAGGCTTCCATTATGTTACAGTAAGATCTCTGGAAAAATTTGCATGGGTACTACAGGAAACATTGTACTAGTGGTGTGAAAGATCAACTTTTTATTATTTATAAAATGCTTATCCTCATGAGACAGGCACTACAGCATTACAGGTAATGAACAGGATTACAGATGCATCTTTATAGCTGAATCTCTAATTTGCAGAAAAACAAAATGATGTTTTTGTTTAAACAAGATACCTTTCAACAGTGACTGCCACCCATTTAAGGACAGGTCCCAGCCTCCTCATCACAGAATGTGTGAGGCAGGAAGGGGCCTTTCAAAGTCACATCATCTAAACCCAGTGCTCAAAGAAGGAGCAGCTTCTGAAAATCTCCACAGATGGAGACTTCACCACCTCTTGGGCAATAACTTCCCATTACTCTCACAGTAAAAAAGATCTTATCTGATATTCAGAGTATCCTGTGTGTCAGTTTGTGCCCACTGCCTCATGAAAACAGATCTGCTTGGCATCTTATTCAGAATGAAGCATTCCAAGACTGTGGTCCTGGGCACCTATTGAAAGGAAGCACTCATGTTTCTTTAAGTGCACTGTGAACTAAGTCTTTACATTTAAGATCAACAAAACATGTTCTGAGATTTTTTAAAAAATGAAAGAAGAACCCACTGTAATTCAGTTACTCAAAATGAGTTACAGATTCGTAACATACTTCATACATATTGGTAAAGAAACAACATTAGGTTGTGGAGGGGTATAATGGAAAAAGATGAGAAAGAAAACCAATTAATTTGTAATTTATAAACAATTGAGAAATGTAATCTTTTTAATCAACCTTGATGTTAAAACTGAAATTAGAAGAAACATGCATGTTGAAGAAAAGCAAATTTGCTTTCACCCACTGCAATACTCACTTAGTGCATGATAAATAGGTTTATGTTTGCCTTCCAGTCTGATTACAGTGGCAGCTGCTATTTTTCCTGGGGGCTGCATCTTCGCATCGAGGAGGTACCAGGCTCTACCAAAAGTAGCCCATTGCTGAAAAGAAAGAGGATCAGTACTTATCACAGGGAAAGCTGACACTACTGTAATCTATCTTCCTCAATTAAATCAACACTTCTTTTACATTCAAAAAATACTAGAAGGAATATTGGTAGGCAGCGCCACCCCCTTCAAATAACCTTTAAACGGAGGGAGCACTGCGATACACCGACTGCAGTGCGATGTGCGTGGGTAACAGCGCTGACGGGTTACCGGCCCCGAGGGCTTTGCTCAAAAACGCAGGACTCCTGCCGCAGGCTTCCATTATGGCTACATGAGCCGGAACATCGCTGCAGGATATTTAACGCCCAAGGTCTCCTTCCCTCCGCTGAAGGGCACAGCTCCCCCTCAGCAGCTTTCAGAGCGCGCACAGCCTGAGCCGCGGGTGTCCCTGTCCCCAGCCGTGTCCCACACAGCGCTTCCTGCCAGCGGCACCCTCAGGCCGGACACCGGAGGCAGTCCCGGGGCGCTCCACGGGGGCCTGCGGATCCTCGGTGCCCGCCCGCCCCCTCACGGCCCCGCGGGGAGGCCGCGCTCACCTGGGCCGCGCGGCTGTAACTCGCCATGCCGCCGGCCGCGCGGGGCGCGCAGGGAGCGCCGCGCCGGGGCCGCGGGAAGCGGAAGCGCTGCCCTGCGAGGGCGGGGCCCGGGCGGCTGCGCGGGACCTTCGGAGCGGCGGCCGCCGCCGTCCCGGCCGGCCATGGACCGCTACGTGCTGCTCCTGAGCTGGGGCGAGCGCAGGGCCGGGCCCGGGCCCGCCGCAGCCACCGCCGCAGGTACCGCTGGGGACGGCGCTGGGCCCGGCGGGTGCTGGGCCGCGGCGGGCGGGCGCTGCTCTGGTGTCCGCGGGGCTCTCCTGGCTCCTGCCTCCCTCCCTCAACACCCCTTTGCCTTCAGGCTGAGAGTCTGTGGTGCCTCTAACCTGCAGAAACCTCAGGGGAGTTTCTGCTTTATTGCGGTGATGCCATGTAACTCCGTAATGCGTTCCTGAACGTGACTTAAAGGAGAACTTAGGAAAATTTGTCTTTTTAAACTGCGTATCTGCAAGCGATAGTTCGGTTAAAAACCTAACCAACCCCTTTTCCCCTTCTCCTCTAAATTCACTTTCTAATTTCACACTGAACTTTATACTGCATTTGCAAGAAAATAAGATTTAATATCCATAATTCAGTCGTTTTAAGATTTTTTTTTCTTTTTCTAGCTGGGACTGCTGCAGACGTGTATCAGTTCCTGAAAGAAAGTTGTAATGCATCTATAAATGCAGATGTGAGCATTTTCCCAGGTAAATATGGCAATGCACAGTGAGGTAGGGCAAATGCTGTTGAGGAATTGGCCTATGCATGTTCTGTTAGGGGAAACAAGTCAGAAATTTAGGTAAACCAAATTGCTGTGGTGTGGACCTGTTCCTTCCTGCTGCTCCTGATTCTGTGGAGAACCTGCATTTCAGCAGCTAAGGTGTTAGGAGATGATTAGATTGATTGGTTGTGAGAAATGAAGGGGAAGGGTTTTGAAGAGTTGACAAATTTCAGTCCAGTTGAGCAAGGAAGAGTAGGAAATGGCTTGATTCTCAAGTCGGTGGGTAGCATGATCTTTTAATTACTCCTGTAATGTCTTCTGATTTATTCATTCGAAACAATACTTGTCTGTTGGGTAACAATTCAGAACCTTAATCCATAAATACTAAATAATTTTTTTTACCTTAGAATAGATGTTTTAAGGTCTGCTTTAGTACTTTTAGGGGCTGTGTGTTTGTGTTTTGTTGTTTTGGGGTTTTTAATCAAAAAATGCTTTCTTAGTTCTTTACTAGGTTTGGATATCGACTGTTATAAGCTCATCTTGTCACAGATGTCATATAATTGGGATTTATGTGGGAAAACCACTATAAGCTCTTAAAATTCATGGAAATGGGACTATTAAGCTGTTTTCAACTTCTGTCCATTTTATTACATAGAAACGTTGATAGAGCATCTCATTTTGTGAACTCTAAATCATATTTATGAAAGGTTTTGTTTAGTTCAGGTCTGATACAGATCATGCAAAGAGAAAGCAATATTACCAAGAACAGAGAAGAGGTCAAATGTTTTCTTACTTACTAACAGTCAGAGGGTTGGTAAAAGACACTTGCCATGACACTTATCTACACTTCAATGTGTTTAGAGCTTAATTATGGTGCCAAAGGAAAGTAGAACTCAAGTAATTGTTGCACATTAAATGATTTACAGACTCTTTTAACAGAGATGTTCATGATAACAGGAAGAATAGATTATAGTGAATTCATTAATTTAAATAATTGTTTTATCTCTTTGCAGCTTGCTCAGTGGCTGGTGTTCCAGGTGCCAAGAAATGGTATTTTGCAAGTCATGTCATTTGTGGTTATTATCAGGTAAGACAAACTCTTTTAGAGTATAAGTTCCTCAACCATCTACCTGACTGTAGAATAAGCTAAAAATGTGATGTTTAAAACTGTTTTTGCTTATTTAAGTCTTTTTGTTTGATTAGTTCTGCAGTTCTGACTGGGAGGAAATCAATGTTGACACACAAAAAAATGAAGACTCTTACCAAGCAAGCATTGACGAGAACCTGGGAACCACACAAAGTTTTGAGGAAGATGACAACAGTCAGGAATCACTGTCTCTGACTGAGTATGTGTATTGTTTTATTTAAGGAACAGTGATCTGACATCTATCAGTGGTGACCCAAGGGGATCACGAAAGTTTAACAAGTGAGAGTTAGTACCAAAGCAAGAGTTAACTGTGAACAATCCCCTACTAGTACTGAAAATATTTTTGTTTAGCATAGCTTTAATATTTTTACAGATGATTTTTATAGGATAACTAAACAGTTTCCTAGCAGCCAATGTTATATATACAAAAATTTCTTGCTAATTCTTTTTGAATCCTACTTCCAGTTTTACTTCTGATTATTTTGATGTCATTACGCCTACTTTTGTCTTAGTAAAAGAGGAGATGATTTCTCATATCCTAAGTATGTTTGTGCAGAGTTTTAAAGATGTAAGATACATCAGGTACCATTCATTAATTGTAACTTTTTGTTTCCAAATGCCTTTGTTTATATTTTGGTTCCAAACATGTTGTTGTTCTTCATTTTTAGTATTTATGATGAAGCTGCTGAAAGTCTGCATCAATTAGCTGATAAATTGCCTGCCCCAGGTAATCTGTCTTTAAAAACCAATCTCATTGGAGTTTATCTTGTTAGTTACTGACCTAAAAACTCATTTGGTAAAAGCATAGTGAGTGGAAAAGTTCAGAGAAAGTTCAGCACCAATCTAACAAACTTAATGTAGCTCTTGGAGGTAGTTTAGGAACTTGAGCATGCTTGGCCTTGCAGATCAGCTTGAGGACTAGTTTGCTGCTTGTTTCTTTGGCAGGCTGTAGTTCAGTAGAGTTTAAAATAGCTATTTATATAATAAATTTATCCATCTGAAATGGCACCAAAGTGATCATAGACAGTAAGCAATACAAAACTCAACACAGGAAATTTCTTACAAAAAAGGGGAAGATGTTGATATCAGGCTTACGTATGATTTGACAGCTGCTCGCTTGTGAGACAAGAAGATGAGGAGGAAAATACATCACAACTGTTGGATTGGGTTTTTGTAAACTGGAGATACATACCACTTTGCATGTTAGGATTGTATAATGTTGTAGAATTTGATTTAGGATAACAAAGGGACTCAAGAAGAATGAAAAATAGCAGCTAAGAGTGTTAAAAGTAGGAAAAGGACATAGCTTAGTTGTGCAGGAGACAAATCTCATCTATCAGTGCTGAGTGGGAGGGGTGAAAGGGACAGAACCTTTCACTGTCACTGAGGGAATGGTGAAATATGTTGAGTTCATCTAAGAGGAGCAGTAAGTGATGAGCTAAAATGTGGGAAAAGTGTTTTAAATCCTGGAATTACTTGATCTTTTTGCTGGTTTAGTGCAATCAATGGTAACCAATACTATTCTATCTTTAAATGATTGAAAAATGTCATGATATTTGAGTCATACACAACTGTTTTACAGGCAGAGCAATGGTTGATGTAATCCTGCAGGCTGTTGAATGTGATGGACCCAAGTTAAAGGACTGCTTACCTGCCATTGGTGCCCTGAAACACCTGAGGGAGTGGCACTCTGCACGGATCACTATTGCTGCAAGTGATGCTAAAGGGTATGGCATTTATTTCAGGGCCAAAACAAGGTCACTTCTGCTTTGTGTTAGCACAGATCAGTGGGTTGAAATAAAACCAGCTTGTTGGGTACTTTACATGTGTGCTTTGAAAATACATAAATTAGTAGTCTGTTGTTGTATGAAGGGAGGAATTAGTCATCCTGATTTATTGTAAATGCATGTCCTAACCAGAGAAGCAGGCAAAAAAGCCAGTCCTTTGCACTTGTTTTCTGTGGGAGCAAAGAGTGAAATATTTTCTCTCCCCTTTCCATGGGTTCAGTAGGCATACAAGGCTTTCATGTTGTATTATGCTATGGGATAACTTGTATATTGATTGTAGTTTTCCAGGTTTTTTTAAATGAATCCAATGTACTGTTGGTTTTACTTTAAATTTTATATTACCCTTGATATTACTTTTCAAGAAGGAAAAGTAGATTGCCTCATTTGTCCCTTTTGAAAAAGGAGTATAAACACTCTATTACTTCCTGCATGTTTTTCAAGATTCTTTTAGTATGAAGAGTTACTGAGACGATTAATTCAAGTTGAAATTAATTGCAGTAATTTACTTTCTGTCCTCCTCTAATTGACATGTAAAGGCCATGATATATCTCACCATATGAATCACGATGATTTGGGGTTTTTATCCTATTAAGTGAATGATTGTGTTTATACTGAACAACTTGGCAAGGTCTGCACTTTCCTTCCCCTCCATGCCCAAAAGATTGAAATTTGCTTCATAGAATAGATGGTTAAACTTAATCCTAAATTCATAAAGCTGTTTTAAAAGGTGAATGTTCAGTTCTTGGATGTAATAAGCAATATACCTACTATACAGTAATTCCTGAGGTATGTGGAGGACAAGAAAGTTACTCAGTGACTTTCATGAGCACTTGATCTCAGTGCTCATTGATATGATCCTGTGGAACCAGCTTTTGACTGAATAAATTTTTCTGCTGCCTTTTATGTAAAGTGAGATTATTTGGGTATAGATGATCTCTGATGAAAGCTATTTCACTTATTCTTCCTGTTCTGTTGATGGTGCTGATTTCCCTTGGAAGACAGACTGCCAGCAGAACCCACTACTGGCTGTTCTCTGTTGTTGAATTTGGATTATGCTTGTGCTGCAGTCATATCTCCATTTAGA